AGCTGTCCTCCTTCGAGAAAATGAAAATGCGTCCTCCAGACGCGAGAAAGACGACAAAGCTGGCCGGGAGAGACGTTTGACACGAGCCGCCGCCGGTCTGACTCGAAGAAAAACTTCAAAAAGAATCGATAGACCCCGGCCAGAGACCCTTTTCTCATCGTGTATCCTGCGAAGAAGGGTGTGCGAGCCTCGAAGACGTGTCAGACCCTCTGATATTGAGGATAAAGCATCGTCGAAATGAAAGCGTTTTCGAGGACTGGGCTTGCGTGTTCGTTTGTTGAAACGTGCGAGATGTTTTCGCGATGTTCCTTTCTTTTTTCTTTTCCTAGAGGATCTCCCTTCTGACGATGGCCTCACTGTTCGGTGTAAACTTCGCCTTCACTTTAGCAAATTTCTCCTTTGCTTTCTCGCTTTTGTACAATTCGCGGGAGAAAGTGAATATTTTTGTTCTGGGTGTATTATAAACAGAAGTGCAGTTGCGCTTCGCAATTGTCGAAGCCTAAGTTTCGTCTCCGTGTGAGAGGTAGAACGCAGAGGACACAGTCGATAAAGCCGGAGTTTCATCGAATCGACGTAACCATGGGTCGGTGGCTCGTGACACGGATGTACACGTGCCGTGGGACGACGTAGTCGAGCTTCCGGTTCGTATACGGCCGTCGTGCGGCGAGTTACGGGCTATTTATCTCCGTATTTTTATTCCGTCGGGAAAGACGATATTAAATTGCTCCTTTCGCGGCCGTTCCGTCTTTTCCTCCTCTCTCTCTCTCCCTCCATTTGGCATCCGTGGAAACTCTGGCCACGTTGAGGCTGACTAGCAACCTTATTTCCCATTTCTTTGGAAGCCACGTATCGCTGGATTCCGCGTGGATACATCGTCTGGTACGTTATTTGATATAGGGCGACCAGCAATACGGTTGTGTGCCGAAGAAATAAGCAGTGGCACGGGGAAGTTTGCTTGAACTTGTATGTACCGGGTGTCTCGTTTAAGTTGAACGTCTAAATTGTTTCAACTGCTATTGGTAGTGAGAAGAAGTGACTGAGAGGAGTTTACGGTGTGGAAATTAGTATCTAGCGATGATAACAAAAATTCTCCTCGATGTTATCTTTAGCGAAGATCATTCCTAGGTCCTCGACATATTTTTTACTGTTCTTTCTATTTTACTAGGTCTCTTTGAGGTTAGGTTAGATCTTGATGTCGGTTATAAGATATTAATGAGGATTAGTCATCTTAGTCATTTCTTCTTGCCTTCAATAGCAGTAACTTAAGTAAGACACTCTCTGGATAAAAATGAATTATATTTAAGGTCCCTTTGAGGTTATGTTAGGCCTTCATATCGGCTATCAAATATTAATATGCGAAAGATCGACGATGACGATTCAGTCACATTCTTAGTCATTTCTTCTCACCTTCAATAGCAGCAACTTAAGTAAGACATCCTCCGAATGAAAATGAATTCTACAATAAAGAAAGTACCAACGATGGTCCTTCGTCCTTTCTCCCTTGTGCCTACTCTTCCATCATTTCCTCCTCCATTCTACTCTCCACTCCACACGTAAGATACACAGATATCACGAAACAAAAAGGAGAAAAAACGAAAAGAACGAAACAATTTCATTTCTCATATCCGAGCGCGATACGATCGGGAGATTCCTTGGTTCCCTTGCCAGTTGGAAAAGCGGCTTTAGGCGACCGGAAGCGGTCGCAGTTTCTGGCCGGATCGAAAACAAAAGCGCGTTATACTGGATTTCGCGGCAGGCTGGGCGAAAATAACGCGATACCCTCGATATTTTCGCCTCGATTCCAATCCGCGCCAGGGGTTATGCAAAATCCTCGGCATCTGTCGATGAAATCCCGCTCCCGACGCACCGTCAGGCGTGAAATTTTCAATTTAGTTCCAGCCAAACAGCCGGACTTGTCCGTCTCTCTTGTCCTTCACTCTCTCACCAAGATCCCTCCTCTTCGACGTCCACGAGATTAAGCTTCCCCGCGTGTTACCAACATCGCCAACTGTCCGCCATTTTGACTGATCCTCGAAGTGTCTTGGAGTCCTTAAAACGAAATTACTCCGTTGAACAATCCTTCTTAGTGATCGGTGAAATTATTCTCTACGTTTCTCAGTGCTTCGTTTCTCATGTTTCTTCAATTGCGTGGGATTTTTTTTCCTTCCTGGATTTTTTCATATTTTTTTGATGAGAGAATGGGTTCAACCCATTTAACCCTTTGCACTCGAAGATCTTTTTTTGTTATAGGGAAGTAACAAATCGGAGATTCGATTGAAATTTTTTTCAAATTAACGTAGAAATAAATTGCACACGTATCAAAGGATATAGCTACTGTGTTTCAATATTTAACGTATTTTCACATTATACGAGAACTTGCAACAGTTCGTTCCTCTAACATATGAAACTCTACAATTTATGGAGGTCCATAGACCTGCTTGTGGAATTGGTTTAATAACATGTTGTGAGTGATGGCGTGAATGTAGTGTGTTTGTTGAATCGCCTCGAGATTTGTAAAACGAGCGGATCATGCAGAAGAACAGGGAGTAAAACAGAAGAACCGCGTTGTTATTGATATCAGAGAGTACGTGAGAATTTATTGCGAGATACGATAAGAGACCGTTGATCAGATTATCATTATTCCTTTTTACGTGTGTTTATAGTTATTATCAAATTACTGTTATAAAATATATTGCTATTGAACTTATTATCACGTGCTATACAACCACACTGCTGTCCTTCACTTTTAATAGAGCCTTAATTAATTATTCGTTATTCTTTGTTATTGTTAAAATTCTGTTGAAAAATTTCTGGTCGCTACATTTTTCCAGATATTCAGGCGAAATTTCCACAGTAGCTAAAAATCTGCTGTAATCAAAGGATCCTCCGTACATGAATCGAATCGACCCGTGGAATTAAAAGGGTTAACGTCTGTTCTCAGTCGCCTCTCGAGTGCCAAAGTGTTAATTACTGAACGAGTCGTTCGTTGCCAGATTATTTCACGACAGTGCGTTCGTAGACAGGCTTGGAATAATTTGAAGAGTCGAAGAAAGGGGCATTTGTAGTTTTTAATGTCGTTTGTAGTGCACGATACGTAATATACGACGCGTTTCCAGCTCGGTTGTATGAAAGTTAAATAAAAAGCGGCGCTATACGAGGAGGACGATAGAAGGGGAGCGATGAAAAATGATATTTCTCGCGTGCTGGCGGGCAAAAACGCGTGAAATCGAACAACGAATTAAATGATACGATGTGCAATATATGTGTGTGTATATATATGTATTGGATGGAGGGAGAGTTGTACGGCTTGTAAAGCTATTTCAAAGGGATTATGCGAAACGCGGCGCTCGCCAGTCGCGTCAAATACTAGAGATTAACGTCACGGGGCTGACGTATTATGTTACTTTGACGATGTAATTCGCAGTTTTATCCGGAAACGCTATAAATCGTGTTCTGCGTCTGTAATTAAAACACTTGCTAGCAGAATTCTGTACGAAAGTTGAATAATAATTAATCGGAATCGAGGGAAGAAATTGTTGCGCTATTTCGTACCGAATTAATTTTAATACTATCTTCAAGACCGGGGTCGGCTCGAGGCATTTTTCAAAGCGAGCTATTTTCCATTTTTTGCGCCCTCCTGTTACCCCCCTCTAAACATAAATAATATTAACACTTTACCGACCGGTAGCCTATTAATCGGCTTTTTGCCGTCAACGTTTACCGACCGGTAACCTATTAATCCATTTTTTGTCGCCAACGCTTACCGACCGGTAACCTATTAATCCATTTTTTGTCGCCAACGCTTACCGACCGGTAACCTATTAATCCATTTTTTGTCGCCAACGCTTACCGATCGGTAACCTATTAATCCATTTTTTGTCGCCGACACTTACCGACTGATAGCCTATTAACCGGTCAAAGTTTGATCAACGCTTACCGACCGGTAACCTATTAATCCATTTTTTGTCGCCAACGCTTACCGATCGGTAACCTATTAATCCATTTTTTGTCGCCGACGCTTACCGATCGGTAACCTATTAATCCATTTTTTGTCGCCAACGCTTACCGATCGGTAACCTATTAATCCATTTTTTGTCGCCGACACTTACCGACTGATAGCCTATTAACCGGTCAAAGTTTGATTTAATATTTCTACAGGTATAAGAAAAAGCGCGTATGTTCCCGCGCAATAGCCTAGAGTCTAAACAGAGCCGGTGTCACCGATGTATCTGTGGCTGAGTGACCGGTCAAAAGTGCGTAGAATGTTCAACCGCTACCGGTCGGTAAAGTGTTCAGTATAAGAAAAAGCGCGTATGTTCCCGCGCAATAGCCTAGAGTCTAAACAGAGCCGGTGTCACCGATGTATCTGTGGCTGAGTGACCGGTCGAAAGTGCGTAGAATGTTCAACCGCTACCGGTCGGTAAAGTGTTCGGGACGAATTAAAGAATTGAAATGCGATACTCCGTCAACTTTGTTGCAACTTAACTAATACAAAGTTCATTTACAGTGACTCTTACTAATATTCGGACACTCTTTAGAACAGTATATTTTTGTTTAAATTTGTTTTTTTTAAACCGAATATTGTTGCTTACGAGCCTTCGCTGCAGCAAATTTCACTTTTCGTGTCTCAGAAAATAAAAAAAAGAGAATTTTAAATTTTGGCGCTCTTTTCGAATTGCGCCTCAAGCTATTGCCTCGTTAGCTCGCTATCTAAGCCGGCCCTGTTCAAGACTGTTCTAATATCGTCTCAATGAATAATTTTTCATTCATTTCCTTATGAAGCTTTCGAGATGACGATTTTCAATTTCTTTAAATTTCCTTATTTTATTGAACGTTTTATTTTTATATACAGGGTTAGTTGAAATTGAAAGGGTTACAAGTGTGAACGAGCACTGGTGCTTGATGGTTGGATTTAATAGAATTTCCACGTGGGAATTTCATTAAATTCGTTCCAGTGTTGGCGCAGAAATATTTTTATCGCGAGCCTCGCTTCGTTGCAGGAGGAAGATTCGTAGTCACTTCTCAAGGCGATCTTCACATCAGAGCCACCAGACCGGAAGACGGTAGAGCCACCTACTCGTGTTTAACTTTTCACGCGCTGACTAGCGAGAGGAGAAGAAGCGAGCCTGCAACGTTAACAGTCATAGGCACGTGAACTCTATTTTTCTCGTAGAAACAGCTCTGCACATTTACACAAGTGGTGTCTGGCTTTAGAAAATATGAAAAAATGGTGTTCGTTTATTTTTGCAAAATTAGAAAGGTACGTACACTTAGGTAAGACTTAGGCTACCTTCATAATCACCGAAATACAGGATGTTTCCGAACTGGAGGTACAAGCGGCAAGGAGGGGTCTCTACGTGCAAAAATAAGCGGAAAAAAAAGAATAACATTTGTTCGTATCGGGCTTCGAATGAATCAGCGTTGAAGATTTACCAAGCACGCGTGTACTAGAAGACCAGTTTTTGTTACGTTTCGATTCGTAAACATCGCCGAAGTCGCGGCTTGTTGTCATTTCCGTGGCAAACTTTCAGTCTTCGTCGTTCTGTCGATACGGCAACGTACGGTAGTCGAGAGTACGCCGATATAATTCTCGCGTTGTGCGCTTGTGCCGGTAAATTATTTGACTAATTACTACAAAGAACGCCGTTCAAATCGCCGTCATTACGACAGAAGAACAACAGAAGTGAGATTTGTACGCCGTAGACGCGAGATCGTGTGCAAGTGTACGTATCCTCGGTAGATCTTCAGCGCTGATTTATTCGGAAACGAAGCCCGATACGAAAAAGTGTTACTCTTTGTTTTTCCACTTATTTTTGCACGTAAAACCACCAGGTCGGAAATGATGTGTAAATGACTGAAATTCTGCTATCAAAAGAATTTGACGATTTGAAGTTTTTGTAATTTTGTTGGAAATTTAATATTGAATTGTGAATGTTGTTTTATTCGTGATTGTGTTGTATTTGTTGTATAGAACCAACTGGATCAATGCCGCCAAAATTGATGCAGAGATCTCAGATCGCCATCTCCGCGGAGAGCGGCTCGGACGTTCACCTAACTTGCTCAGCCCAAGGGAGCCCACCCCCTCAATTTACTTGGTATCGCGATGTTAACGGTTGGTTTAATTAGGAGATTGTTTACTGCATAATGTAAATTTACCGTAACACCGCATAATCCAACGAGATCGCGCAACACCAACATCCTTGTAAAGGAATAATTATTATATTAGTAATTAGATTTGAAAAATGACTCCCTCGTGAATCCAGTTACAATCGCCACTTTGTTAAATCTATCGGGAAGAGTGAAGGGACTTACGAGGAGTGAGATAATAATTGCTCTTAATTAATTCTCAGATAAATCAAGGGATAGTCAAAAATTGAAAGTTTTCACCATAATTCTGCAGATTGTAACAAATTTTGATTTACATATTGACACTGTTTTTTCTTTTTTTTTAATTTTTACTTTTGTCGTTCAACAGGATTGCTAAATTGTGAAGGAATCGTGCTTTCGTTGTCTTTCTAGGGACTCGTGAATGATTTCGTTAATTTTCACTTTAACCTAATTACCAGAGAAAGCAGAAATTAAAAATCATCAATTAATAAAAGATTCTAGTAAATGTGAGAAACCTATTGTTATTTAAGTATAATAAAAATGTTTTTAAATATAATTCTATAGCACTCTTCTCGTGAAGGTAACAATGACGATTTAAATTCCCTTCATTTTTGTGCAACGCAAAATATTTCCAAACATACCTCGACGATGTAATATATTTTTCAAATAAAAACAGCTACCTACCCCTCCTTAATTCCCACTAATTTCAATTTCAGTTAAAATTCAGGTATCCTGACAACGTTATATTTATTTTGCCCTTCAAAAATTCAAATGGACCAAATTCCAATTTGATCAAATTCAAATGGACCAAATTCAAGTGGACTAAACTCAAATTTGGCCAAATTCAGATGGACCAAATTCAAATTCGGTCAAATTCAGATGGTCCAAATTCAGATGGACCAAATTCAAATTCGGTCAAATTCAAATGGTCCAAACTAAAATTTGGCCAAATTCAAATGAACCAAACTAAAATTTGGCCAACTTCAGATGGACCAAATTCAAATTCGGTCAAATTCAGATGGTCCAAATTCAGATGGTCCAAATTCAGATGGACCAAATTCAAATTCGGTCAAATTCAAATGGTCCAAATTCAGATGGTCCAAATTCAGATGGACCAAATTCAAATTCGGCCAAATTCAAATGGTCCAAACTAAAATTTGGCCAAATTCAAATGGAGCAAATTCCAATTCGGCCAAATTCAAATTCACTAAATTCCAATTTAGTCAAATTTAAATGGTCCAAACTAAATTTGACTAAATTCCAATTTGGTCAAATTCAAATGGTCCAAACTAAATTTGTCCAAATTCAAATTGACTAAATTCCAATTTGGTCAAATTCAAATGGTCCAAACTAAAATTTGGCCAAATTCAAATGGAGCAAATTCCAATTCGGCCAAATTCAAATTCACTAAATTCCAATTTGGCAAAATTCAAATTTGGCCCGTCATCTTTAACAGAAGTGCGCGCGAAAATGGCGAAAATACGGTAACACGGAATATTCCGCGTTAGAGTGTAGTATCGAGTAGCAAGCAACGGGTATCCTGTTGTTGCAGGGCATTCGATACCGGTGGAGTCATTTGGTCGAATTCAACTGTGGGGTGATTTGATGCAAATCCGCCGCGTGGACGCTCAGGATGCAGGAAGGTACATTTGTCGAGCTAGCAATCAGGTTGGCGAGAAACGAGCGGAAACACACCTGTCGGTCACGTCAAAACTTAACGCTCGGATACAGCCTCGTGTACAGGTAGACACTTCCTCATTCTTGTGCAAATATTTCTATCAGGCGTTGATATCGACTACTATATTATTCATATATGCGGTTTGATAGAGAAAAAAGAAAAAAAAAAATAACCAGACTACTTTTAGAAAATCTTGTTAATACAAAATTATTCTAAATTAATGTAGAAAGAGAAGAATTGATGGTGATAATATTTATGAAATTTGATTAGAACGATTTGGAAGTGATAGAAATATAATACTTCGTAAATTTTTGGTTGAAACAATTTTATTAATTGTTATATTTTGTACAATTATGTTACACAGATAATTCCATATAGCGTTATTCTAATTGTAAGTTAGAACATTCAATCGAGACAATTTCTGAGTCGTGAAATCCAATTATGATTGACCCTTATACTCTATAATAGTGGAGTACTTACCCTAAGTGGCGCCTATGAGTCTGCTGCCGTTACTATTAATTTTTACTACCATCTTATAGAATCACAGAATTATCATAATGGTCGATCTACTCTGTACCAGGAAGATTGCAGGAAACCTTGGGTATCACATTTGGACTTACTTTCGTCGCATATCATACTTTCTCGTTTTAAGATACCTACGTCTTGATAAAGTTAAAATCGACAAATAGGGAGCAGTACAAAAATCGAAATGAACAGTTCACTGTGTCTGCTGAAAAATTGCATCGAAAATTTATGAATATTCATTCTCTAATTCACAAATTTCTCAATTTCTCCTTCTCTGTCATAATCGTAACAGACATTCACATTAATTTATTGAGTTCTATTAGATATTAGTCCCAGTGACCATAAGAATGAAAGCTCCCTTAGAGACCATAAGACCTCAGTGACTATAAAAATGCTCTTTCCCCCTCTTTCACTCTCTCTTTTTCATCTCTGTCCTCTCTTTTCTCTCTCTCTTTCATCTCTGTCCTCTCTCCACTCTCTTCTCTCTCTCTCTCCTTTCTGTTCTCTGGGTCCTCTCCCATC